ASMAMMWYTKGCACCCASCTTGGTGTCATCTGCAAATTTGTTGATGGTGGACTCMATCCCCTCATCCAGATCATCARCAGATACTAAACAGGACTGGGCTTGTTGGAGAAAACAAACCCACTTCTTGCTCCTTGCTCTAGACCCTTACTGATTTCACTAGCACTGGTGGGACTGGGCTGAATGAATGCAAGGGCATCCAAGCATGTGTAGGGTTCTGTAGATGGAAATGTTTATTTCTGTTGAAAAAAGTGGATTTAACTTTAGCTATTATGTCATAGGTTATATGTGTAAAGAGAACATCAGCCTTCAACTGTGTGGTACTGGAACAAAAATAACTTTGCTGATAACAGATCTCTGGCTTTTTTAGGATGCCCTTGCTCTCATCAGATTAGACGATCTTTTTCTAGAGTCATTTGAAGTTACAGATGGTGAGTATTTTCTGCTGCAGCATTCAAGAAGTTGTGCATGTGTCCTGCAAGAATGTTTTTTCATTCTCCCTGCTCCACTTGTATCACTTGCCCTCAAGGATCAGGAAAGCCAGAAAATCTGATTTCATGTATTACTGGTACTCAGAGTCCCCTGTAAAGCGGGATCTAAACCTGATGTACTTCATTTCTACCAGTGTTAACTTGGTGCAGTTTGGCTCCATTTCCTCAGTGTTAAGTGCAGTGCCTTCCTCTGCAGTTCTGAAGGAAACTTTTGGGTGCCAGAAACACTACAGCAACACTGGATCCAGTGAGCACTGCTAGTCAAAAAAAGTTGAAATCTGGGTGGAGCTGTGTTTATGCATGAGTTGTTACCAGCAAACTGACCAAGGAAAGCATTAATACGGATGCAGGCTACTGCTGTTACCCTGGGCATGTTATTTTCATTTCAGTCAAACCTTTGAAAGGAGATCATCTGTCAAGAGCAATAGGGAGAATAGCAGGGAAAGGCGGAAAAACCAAATTCACCATAGAGAACGTAACCAGGACACGCATCGTTCTGGCTGACGCGTAAGTACAACTTGACTTCTTCCTTGGCAAAGCACAACCCCTCAGCTAATCCATGTCCTCTGYCAGGAACAAACAACTTGAATTTTATGAAACTGTTGTACAGCAGTAGTAAGAAAAAAAAAATTTAAGTGCTATTTTTAGTGAACACAAGTTATTTGACTTTTTGTAATGAGAACGTTACCAGCACACCTACAATTCAGTCATTCCCCAGAGCATACCAATTCCTTCTAAAAAAATCAAAGTTGAACTCACCAATCYAGCAATGTTTTCTTCCAGAAGCTGCTGCACTGTTAAATTTGCAAATGGYAAAATCTATTTTAAAAGGATTTAGAAGAGCACAGCTCTGTGTTGTAGGTTTTGTGGGTTTCAGTTGGGGTTTTTAAAATCTATTTACAAGATGTGTAGAGAAGAAACTAGTACACTGATACAAAATTCAATATTCATCTCTAACCTCCAATTATTTACTCTGTCATCACGTAAGTTATTTTCCATTAACTGCTGCTACTTTGCTTTTTACAGAAAAATTCATATTTTGGGATCTTTCCAGAACATCAAAATGGCACGAACAGCAATCTGCAATCTAATTTTAGGTAAGTCCTGTTAGCTAATCTTCACTACATAGAGATCTTGCAGTTTGGGACACTGCTCTGTGGCTCTCAACTTCTTCCCTGGCCTGTCACACCTACATTTAGCAGGTATCTTGCTGATAGTTGGCTTGTTGCTCTTAAAGAGAAAAAATTGGGAGAAGCAGGGAATCCGGGCCTTGCTTTCTTGCTCCAAAACCCTTGCCACATTGCAGGAAGATATTCTGCTTTTTGATTTAGCTGCAGCATTTCCTAAGGGGTCTAAAAAGCCAAAAGTGGCAACCCACTCAGAAAACAGAAGTTCAGCTCTGCACTTGCAGTAAGACAGGGTGACTGACCTTGACCATCTTTCTAACCCTTGGCTTAGTTCTCCACAGTTTATTAACACAGGTGGGAGTGCAACACAATCATTTTTGTGAGAGATTATCTCATTTGCTGACTGGATTTGTGCCTTCTTCTGCAGGAAGCCCTCCATCCAAAGTTTATGGCAATATTAGGGCAGTGGCCAGCAGAGCAGCTGAGAGGTTCTGAGCTGCACCACCAAGGACTGTGGCTGGAAGTCCAGATTCTTGGACATGAGAGGCCTGGAGCTACAGAAGCCATCAGTTTGCTGATGGATTTGGAAGCCAGAAGAAAACRAGGATTGTTTGTGCAGTCTGACTGCCTTTGGACAAGTGGTCTGATTTGAACATACCTAACGTTTCTCTATAGGCATTAAAAGGTATTTTAAATTGTGTCTGTATTAGAAGTATATGATTTTATTTGAGCGTTGCTTCATTATGGATTTCCTGCACATCACACTTTCAAGAGGCTGCTGTCAGAACTTCAGAAAGCCTCAGAGTTTAATGTTTTGAGCCTAAAGGAATCGGCAGAGTTAAACATTTATAACCACACATCAAGGTTTAATATCTTCCGTAAAAAAAGAAGAATCAACTGGAATGCTCAGTTCAATGGTAGGCTTGCTATCCTCTGCTGATGTTAGAACAACGCATGAAAAGAGTAAAACAAACAGGTAAACATGTCTGAACATAAGCCTGAATCTGCACAGGCTTATCTTCATTCCTAAAAATGATCTCTACGGACAGCCCAGTGAAGCAAAGAGCCACGAGGTTAAGTACTTTCAAGTGTACCAGAGCACAAACAAGTGTAAAGTCCTGTGTCTCCTTGAAATGCTACATAAATGCAACAAAAGTAGGGGGAGAGATTACAGAGACCAGTTCCAGTAAGATTTAAAAATGGATCCCCTTCTCCTAAACCTGCCAGCCAACCTTCTCCAAAGTGTCTTGCAAAATAATTCAGTTCAGGCTTGGGAATGAAAACAAAAGCAAGAACTGAAATGAGATTATCAAACACATAAGCAAACTGAGTAAGCATTTAGGTCAATGTCCAAGTTTCCACAGCAGCACTTCACAGTATAGGATTATCACTACAGCCAAACTCATTCAAGCCTTCAGCTGTCAACAGATTTAAGACTTGATGTGTTACCTAAAAACACTGCTCAGAAGTCTGAACTATACAGGGAACAGCATGTCCATTCTGAGCAGCTCCAGGTACACACAAACTGGTCACTATGTTCAATGGCTGCTTATGTCAYTTACCTCAATTAGCTTGAAAGGTAAGGGAAAGTGAGGCAAAACCACACTGAATTAATGTTTATCCTAAATCAGGTACATAGTGATACCAACCCAAAGCAGCAGACAGGAGAGGGCAGCACCCAGAAGGTCCAAACGTCTGCACCCCCTAAGAGCACAGCACAGCTGCTGTGAAGGGCATACCTGTACAGGAGGGTTGGTGTCACCAGCATAAGGCTCAGACTTTTTCCGGAGAGAGGAGCTGTCTTTCATTCTCCACTTACATTAATGTTAGGCTGGGCTGGTTTGTTCTTTAAACCACTTTCCACAGGAATTTCAAATGAAGTGTTACCCAGTTTGGACATTTAGCAAAGAGAACCAGGTGTGCCTTTAAACAGCCTCAACATGTCTTGAAACACTGCAGTGAACTCTGGAAGTGTTCAGCAGACTCTGCATCCTGTAGAGTTTTTCAGTAAATCTGAATAATTGAGGAGTGGACAAGAAAATACGAATTTTTCTTTCAAGTGAGGTGCAGAGCTGCTTTAAGGTGAACAGAAGGTAGGTACTGAGCACCCCAGCCAAGGTTCAAATATTTTATTTTGTATTCATATAGTATGAAGGTTCTTATAATTCCCACAACATATGATGTAGCATGCAGAGGAAAAACTAAACATTCAACATAAATCATTTTTCCCCACACAAACTAAAAAAAAAAARCCTCATCCCTCCCCTTCCAGTCCCCCTAAGGAAATAACATTAGCACTAATTTCTATAATGCCAGCCAAGATATGCACAAGCAAGAAAAATTGAAAGCATTTGCTAAAATGTTTGTAACAAATACTTATGTACAAAAAATTCACAAAAGACTAGTTCCCCCTTGAAGCAGAGCACATGGCAGTTGACACTGGAACAGATACAACCACTGGCTGGGATTATAAACCACGTACTGATCCAGAGGAAGAAAAAAGTTACATGTAGTGGAGATTTTGTTTTGAACATTAACATTTACCAAAGTTTGGCAACATTATCTTTTAAATTATGCAAATTATGTAAACAAGAGGAACATTTCAAATCGATCTACATGCAAAACTTCATGTCATGCAAGGACACTAAGCACCTGGATTTCTTTCTCACAGACAGAGCCCATGATGTGCAGCACTCAGTTGAAGGAACAGCTATGGCAGACAGGTGCACAACTGAAGAGGTTTAGACAACCTGCACTTTCCACCGCTCATTATAAAACAATTTTTTTTTAATAGAAAAACTACTATACAGGAAAGATGTACTGTCCTAAAAAATCTAGCAAATGTTTTTCTTCCAGCCAATAGTACCACTGCAGAAAAGGGAAGGGATGATATAAAGTTGTAAAACATGGCTCGCTACTTTTATATCACACAAATATATCAAGTTACCTTCCATTACAAATTATGATATGGACAAATCTAGAAAAGAAAAAAATTCTCCAGGAAAAGGACTGGAGAACYGCAAGAGGTATAAATTTAGATAGTGTGAAGTTTTCCTCCTCTATGGCATAGGTTAACAAGATTTCCCCCTGTATGAATCCTATATACATATATATAAAATATTACCAGTTATTTAGCTATCTGTAGTATTTTTTAAATGCAGGGGGGAAAACTATCATGGTTGAAACAGAATTTAAATGGCAAGAATATTTTATAGTCTAAGTACTGTATAAAATAAGTAGATGGGAATCCTGCACAGTTATGTTGATCCTAATTTCATTAAGCTAAGCACAAGAGAAAATCATGAATGCATTTAACACCTTAAGCAGCTGTATCTAAACTGAACCCAGAACAGCAGRTTTGTCTTGGCTTCAGGACAGCTGTAACTGCTCCCAATTCCTGGGTGACGGAATCTAACAGCCATCAAAGCATTCCGCAGTCACTATATGCACACGAGGACTAGTTCTTGGCAGTAGCATTAAACTATATTCTCATATTAAGTAGAACTGTACTAAGTTATTTAGCAAAGAGACACAGTCCCTGGTAATATATTAACAGGTATAAATAAACTTAGTCTCCCGTGTTACAAAAAAAAAAAAGTAATTAAGGTGATTTAATAAGAAGCAATGCTTTGTCAGCCAGTCAATATATAGAAACATCTGAACAGTCACAGGAAAAGGAAAAAAGTTGACCTAACACCCAGTTAAAATTTTACATTCTTCTACTATATATATAAAACTGTGTGAAATAAAAGTAAGGATGTATATCCATATATTGAACTGTTAATATTCTGCTTGGCACTTTGTACTCTAGTTTTGTTTCTGAATCAAGTATATTAAATTAAAGCCCACCTAGCTACTACATATAGAAAGCTACATATATATCTATATATAAATACACACACACATATATATATATAGATAGATATTTCCTTGTTATAAAAGATGAAGAAAAATAAATTAAAAAGCCAACCCCTTCCCTTTCTCCACCACACTGATATGCTCTTTCCATCTTCGCTGTCCTTCAGACTTTAAAGTGCTACACTGAGTTATTGAGAGAATAAAAGTTCAATAACACTTAGTTGGCTTCATGAGGCTCATGTTGGAAAATGTGGCTTCACAGAGAAAAATACTTCCATTTAAATACACAGAGAGCATTGCTGGACGTCTGGAGCAGATCTTCAGAGATGGAGAAGAAAGCAAAAGTGTTGGGTGGTGCCCTACAGAGTCACACGTCTACGACCATCTTTTTGTGGATATCTAGGCCTCCTACAACCTGGGAGAAAAATAAGGTTCAGAAAGATGAGAACTGAAAGTTAGCAAGGTACAAAGATCACATTCAATAGATGCATTCAGGTCAATCATAAAGGCAGTAGCTTCCCTGGCCTCTGCACTGATTTACATTTTACAAGTATGTGAGAGATAAAATTAATTATGTCCATACCAAATTAGTTCAATATTAGCACAATTTACACACCCATAGGCCTGAAAACCAGTGCAAATAACACCATTTTGGCATTCCTCTCCATCTCATATTATGACCTTGTAGTATGTTTGTGCATGTTAAACAAAATGTTTGACTTCTAAAACACCTGTAAAACTGAATCTTCCCAGCAGAAGTGCCTTAGGAATGGCAGCAGGATTTCTGACAGAACTGCACACACTCAGAAAAGAATTGCCAGTGTTCATAGGCGTGTGATCCATGAAGATGGAAGAAGGAAAGATGCCATGTCAGAGGAACATTTTGTAATGCAGGAACAAAATTCAAAGGCCAAATTATATTTGCCAAATGCAACAAATAAAAAACATTTTTGTAGACAGACAGCATGGGATTGAGAGAAGGCAAAATGCAAGAAGGGTAAGAGGTTGTAGAACTGAAAAGTGTCTTTGCCAGRAGGTCAACAAAAACTGAAATAAAGGAAGAGGAAAATCCATCAGTAGCACAAGACAGGAAGCCTGGCCAAAAGCCCAAGGACAAAAGAAGAGGCATCACATTTGAGGGATGGCTGGAAGAAGACAGCCCAGTGCAAGAACTACACAGGTAATGCACTAATCCAGGCATTTGCAGGCTGTAGCTCTGACTTCTTTGCAGATGTGTTTTTACGTGATGTTACAAAAATAACTGAACTTTAAAAAAATATCCCCAAAATGCAAACAACAGAACCTTTTCACTTGAGTAGTCAGTGGAATGGCAGATTCCTTCCCTGCTTTTTTTTCAGAATTAACATTTTTCATGGAGTATGAACAAGTTATGCTTGAACTGAAGTAGTAAATTCAAAGATTAGGAAAAAAAGCAATGCCCAAACCATGYTACAAGGTGTATCTTCCTTAATACACTGTTGTAAATCAATGTATAAACACTCATTATTGCAATTTTCAAATGATCAAGATTGAATGTGTCATTTACTTTTTTTGAGAAAAAGAGTTTAAAATTTGCTGTCAACTAATTCAATWAATATACCACATGGGGTTGAAATCAATCCCTTCATGTATTAAATGCTGCATTTAAGCCTTCTGCTCAGTAAACTTCAATATTCTTGAAAGGCACCTTTCAACTGTTTACTCTTTTTCCAGAGCAGCACTTGAGCAAGCTTTTGTCTCACCCTCTAAATGATGCAAGTTTTCTTTAGAAGTTACTTACAGCACAGAATTCTTCAAAGGATATTCTTCCATCRCCATCCTTATCTGCATTAATTATGGTTTTATCTACAATTTGCTGTAACTGAGTGTCTTTGAGATTGTTCCCAACCATCATCTTCAGCACCTGGAAGAGCTCTCCATTTGAGATATAGCCATCTTTGTCCATATCATAAATGCGAAAAGCAACTGCAGAAGTAAAAAGAAAKAATCAAAAATAAATAAACTAACCATTTAGTAACAAATGTGGTCTGAAGAGAATATATACTCATTTCAGAAAACATCTGAAATTGTTTTAGCACCACCAGTAAAAGAATTCTATGAACACCAAACAAAAAATCTTCCCCACCACAAGTAAAGCATGCAAGCAGCAAAAAAATTACAGTTTTCCAGGAAACAGATGACTCAAAATYCCACCTGGTCACTTTGCTGCAAACAACTTGGCATCAAGACTGAATTTATTTTTAAACACTTCAGTCTTATTGGAAGCTACATTTGTAACTGAAATCCAAAAGCCTAGGTCTGGAGATRCAGTTCTGAAACGTGTTTATTGCTTTTCTACTATAATGACAAAAAAATGAGTATCACTCTTAGCCCCGTGTATAGCAAGCTGTTCTTAAATGAATTTATTTTTTCTAAAAACAGAGAGCAACTGAAATTCTTCAGAAAGCAACCAACCTCCTCCAACCTTCCCTGCAGAAAAGAGAGCTAACAAATCTTCACACAAATAAATGACAAAATGCAAAAAAGCTTACCATCTACTTTTATGACTTTCCACTCTTTACAACAATCTGGATTTGCCAATTTCTTAATCTTAATTCACAGAAGCGTGTTTTTAAGATCAGAAATTTTTTGTTAAGGAAAATCAAAATACTTACACCTCAACTTCTGTTCTTTATCTCCTTTGACACTGAACTGGGAGACTCCTTCTATAAATTCTAAACAATACAAGGAAAACATGTAAAAAGGTGTATTTTTCAATAAACAAGTCAACATACAGAAAATTTTAGAAATTGTAAAAATAATTTAAATTACCCTCAAATCTTTAAAATATTGTCTACCTTGTGACACCTAAATGTCTGCACACTTTGATACTTGAATGTTCTTCAGTGGAGGAACCCCAAATCTAATGCAGTACTCATTAAACAGATGTGATCACACCAGGATTTAAGTAATTTTTTTGCAGGACCCTCACAAGAACTKGACAGAAAACTCCAAGATCTTTACTAAAGCTACTCCCCACTGGAGTACAACTCCTCTCAAGACTGGTTTCTCAATGTAAAGAATTACACTTGAAAGAAAACTGCTTTAAAAGATAYAGGATTTTTCTATAAAAGAGGATTGATTTTGCCAACTTCCTGTTCCCCCCAAGAGGAACAGCTCTTGGTAACTGTATTAATCACAGTTCAATGTCACAGACAACATGATTATCAGTGTTCATGACTGCCTATTTCTTACAAGGGAATTTTCAATAGTTCCATACAAAAATTACTTCTTTTGATCAAAACTCAACATTCTGATTCTACTGTAGCTATCCCTATAGAACTTTAAAGGGTTTTGCAAAGGTTAGCAGCTCTAGTATATTAATATCTTATTTTAAATATCAGCCTGTCAGTATAAATTTAAGTACTTCCTCCAATTTAAAAGAAATGCAAGAAAAACCGATTAACCTTCTCTAGTCATAAGTAACAAGAAATACTAAGTATGGCCTTGAACAGAAGTTACAAACATTATCACTTCTAAAAGTCAGAGACTGTTTTAAGATGAACTAGCAATGAAGATTATAACCTGTTGGTCCTTTTCATCATAAATATTTAAAATAAGTCTAAAATTTTGAGAAATTACTCAATCAAATCTCTGGGTTACTTAGATTTTTTTCTTCAAGTGTCAATCTAAAAATATTCCTGTAAAAGAAGTATCAACAGAAAAACCTGGGCTCCTTTCTATTTTCTAAATACCCAACAAAGGACAGATTTCATTTGGATATTTGTATAAATACTTGTTTCTGTATGAAACTTTTGCAGAAATACAGCACTTGGCCTACCCCACTTTTWTCAATCTTTCCTCAGACAGCATTAAAATTAAGAGTGTAAACTGGTGCACTTTTAAGAGCTATTTAATGAGTAGTCCTCAGCATGACCTTAAAAGCTATTGCTAAGCAATCTGCTTCTAAGCATTTCACTCAGCAGTGCCCTAACACACCAGAGCAACTAGTTTTACTGGTATTCAGTTTTACTAGGAATTAGCACCTTCTTTTGGTTAAGAAATTTTCCTCACCTCTCCTCTCTCAGATGAAGAAAAATATAAGCTCTGAAGCACTAGGAATTGTGCTGAAGTCCCACCACCTGTCACAGAACACTGTGCCTTACCTTTGAAATCCACTTCTCCATTGCCGTCTGTGTCAAATATATCTATTACTCGCTGTACTAATGGGTTCTGTTGCAATTCAGGTAAAGACATGAACTCTTCCACACTCAGAGAACCAGAGTTGTCCAAATCAAGCTTCTTAAATCTCTTTCCTAGTCGTTTTATCTCATCAGCATCAACTGAAATGAAAAACAACCCTATGTTTATTCTCAGAAAGGTTTTAGTAAACCCTTCGCAGTTAAACCCAAGGCACATTTCATTGCTTGCCTACAACATTTTCTCCTGCTTTTTTATAACAATTAAACACTTCAGTGGAAGGCTATAAAGATATCATGAAATTCTGAATAYAAACACAAGCCTTTTAATTTTATTTTAAATAAGACTTACCTTTTTTCCTCCCTGCACCTGCCATAATAYGGTTAAGCCTTGTGACTCACTGAATACCATTTGCTGACACAACATTTTGAAGGATTGAGGATGCTTAGCTCATTAGTTCTTAGTCAGACAGCTCTTACAAATACCAGGTATGAAGAAATTAAAGAGACCAAATGTTCTCTGAAGGAGTTAGTAGTATGTTTACATTAGACTAACATTATATTCAGCTTATTAGCAAAACAAATGCTTTTTCAGCACACCAACATGAGATCTTCTGGGATATGTTCAGTTAAGCTGGTTAACAGTCCTACTGTTAACCAGTTCTCTCTCATCTACTCAAAACATCCCTCTGATTRACCTCAGATCATTTTTCCTCTCCATCTCAAACAGGAAACAGACACATTTAGCCATGACTTGCATACAGGTTTTTTTTGGTCCCAAAAATTAGGGTAGATTCAGGCTCTGCAGCAGCACCTCTTCATGTAATCTCTTCAAATTTATAGAGAATCTCAATTACAGCACATACCTAGTACCTTACTTTGCATGTCTGAGGATGCCAGGAACAGACTAAATCTGTGAATCCATAAAAACATTTAAAACCAATCTTTTGCTTTTAAAAAGGAGTAGCAAAAGCAACTGCTACYGCTGAAAAGCTTGAAAAAACTTCCCCATAATAACCTGAAAATATCCTATCAGCAGTTTCATTTACAAGACCTAAGTTTGTTCACACGTTGCTCACTATTTTTGGCTATGAAGGAGGAAGTGAGGTTCTTAGGAAGCCCTAGAAGGAGCCCAGCACAGAGCAAACAGCAAACACACATTGCAGAACCTAAGGCTGGCAAACTCCCCCACCAATCTTCTCCTCAATGTGAGCAGTCTCCTCAGTATTTCTTAGCTCCATTTACTGCATTTGCTCCAATAGTAACAGAAATTCTATCRTAACTTCTACAAGGTACATACATCCACCTGATCCATCTCACACCACATTAATACCTTTTTAGGCTTTTTTAAAAACACAGCATAAAACCAAACAGCTCTAAATCTTTCCAATACATATGGTCAGCTAACCTGCAGAACTTGGTGTTATGAAATTGTARCCAACTCAGAGACCTGATCCTTTACCAACAGGAAGGAACTTCCACTTCAACTCCTTTATATCCTTGCCTAAAAACCAATGAGACACAAATTCAGAGTCCTCACAACTGCACTGTTTCAGAATAACAGAGAGCCTGCCAGAAGTCCAAAGGCACAAGATGATTTTCTGTCAAGACTTATTTTTGCCTGAACAGTAAATTCTGACATTCTGCAGTTAGCCAGTCTCAGTTACTGTTTGCAACTGCAGAGGCAAASGGCAAAAAACAGTCTACAGTCCCTATATAATCTTCTCTTTGCTGTGACAGAAACTAACAGACCTGATTCTGCCTCTAGGGCTACAAAAGACTAAACATAATTTGCTCTCCTCATTTCCTAGTAAGCAGGGTGGTATTTAAACTCATTGACCTCTCAACTGAGGCAAAATTTTCCTTTTACCCCTATTTTTGCACAGAAGCTTTGAACATGACTGGAGGTGTACCCTGAACACARCTACCCAGGAATGCCCCCAGATGACACAGAAGGAGACAGAGCACCATATGGTAACCTGGAGGTAGAACACTGTCATGAGACTAAAAGAAGAGAGTATTAAAAAGGAAGGGCAAAGCAGAGCTGGCAATTTTATGAGTTATGTCAGCACAAAATGCTGCTTCTCACCAATACACTGAAGGTATTTGCCAACTTTTGCTTCTGTCCACAGAAAMTCTCTTGCTTCCACTCTTTCTCACTCCCAGTCCTGCCACTGCACCATTATTGGGCCCACCACAGTTTAATGCAAAGACAGCACCTTGGCAAGCTGCAAATGCAGGAACTTCATTTTTAGTGGAAGCTCTACTGGCAACTTGCATAGCAAGAGTTGGTATCCTCAAAAAATCCTCACAGCACAAGTATTTGAAAAAGCATAATATTAAGCATGGCTTATCATAYTACCTATGTACACCTTGTAAAATAAGTGTATGGACATAATTTATGTCTGTATTATTTCATTTTAAAGCAACTAAATGGCATATTGAAAGTATTATTTGCACTGTCAGTCTCTTACCAGACCAGTGGAATCTCACTTCCAGTATTAACTGAAAGACTAATACTTCAATTTCAGTCAGTTCTAAAGCCTCCTAAGCAACCTGAAATACTTCACAGTTCTGCAATTCCACAAAATCACAATGGAGAAAAATTATAGAAGCATTAACACAGCTGGAACTCTTCTCCCTTGYCACAAAACCTAATGAATTAATGAACTGCAAGTTCTAAAAACCTTCAAAGTAACACATAAAAAAACTCCAAACTACCAAAACACAGCAATGACATTTTTACAAACTAGGATGTAAGCATGGAACTGCCTGAATCAGGACTACAGACCTGTAGATCATTAGAYAACACAATTTTCTCACAACCCATATGTCACATTTAAGGAAGTCTTACTTCATTACTCCAGTTCCATTTCCTGGTTTGGGAGCTCAAGTCCCTGCTATTTTTCCTCACAAATAYATGAGCAAAGACTCAAAGTGACACCCAGAGTTCTGTCAATGCTCTGCTATGAAGTGGAGCTAAAYACCACATACACAAGGCACTCACACMCTGCTACACAGCCTAAATTGACATAAGTGGGCACATAGGACAGATGACCAATTCTGCCATTGCAAAGAGACAACATGTCCCACACAAGATGTGCTAAGAAAACAAACTGTTRTCAGAAAGGTATTTTATCTCAAGCTAATATATCTCTAGCAGGAGCTACTAATACAAATTACGAAAAGAACATTTTCTTGCGACATTCAGACACTGATTCACTGGACACAATGCTGCTCTGCCATCATCTGCTGGGCACAAGAGCCACTGCTGGCTTAACCAGCCTTGCTTTTGCAGCTAGCAAGGTCCTTAAATTTACAAATTTAAGCAAGCTTAAGAGAAGATAAAATAYCAATTTAGAAGATAAAATATCAATTTCCTTTTTATTTGTTTTAAAGACTGTAGGCAAGGAGGTCAAGATCATGGATGATATGGAAAGAATCAGATCAAAGGATGGGGAAGAGGTTGCAAAGGCATGTAAGAATATTTCTCCAGAATGTCAGTGTTTTGCTGAACTGTAACAAAGCAACAGCTGACTAAATTGCAAAATTAAGGAGTCCTGATACTTAAAAATTGTTAATTACTCTTTCTCCACATATACACACACATTCCACTTCATAGCTCCTACCAGCTCAACTGCAATTCACTGTCCAGGTACAAATATCTGGCAGTAGCTTCTRCTAGAAATTGGATTACAAATTTCTCACTCCAAAGCTTAAAACATTCAAGAAGCAAAGGATTTGCCTGCATGGGAGATCTGAGAGAGGTTCCTTTCTTGGGGGGGAGGAAAAGAAGAAGTCAAAGAAAAGTGCAGAAAAAAAATAGTATCTCCTGCCAAAAGCTGACCAAATAGMAAACTCTTAAAATATTTTGTTTCTGGCAATTGACACACCATGACTGAAAGTATTTAGAGGATGAAATAATAACAAAGCAAAATAACTACAGGACTAAAAGAAGTTTTCTTTAATAGTTCATGAGCCCAAAAAGCCACTTTTCCTAATGAACATATCTAGGAAAACATATGGAGATCACTTTGCTTATAACTGACTGTATGAGAATCTAATATAATAATTCAATTATTTTTCCTTAGATATATTGCAAACACCTCACCTACCATTAAATCCTTTTCCACAAGCTGAATCTTAAAAAGCTTATACACTTGAAAGAAATTTGTATTTCAGTAGCATCTTTGTCTTCACAGAACAGCTTTAAGAAATAAGAATATGAATATAAAATAAGAGATGAATACATTACAGTATCATATGCCTTAGATTTTGCATACCTTCTGTCTATTCTTTCTTCAGTTCACAGTCTTCATTTCTGCTGACTCTCACTGCCTAGACTGTATTTACCTAAAAACTATATAGGKCCTCCGGGATTTACTGTTTATTCCTTTTTTCTCATTTGGATTTTCTGAAGGAAAACAGCATACATTCATATATAAGAGCAGATTCCAATTATCTTTTTTATTGTTGTTGAGATTATCTCCTAGAATGCGCATATACAATGGTTCCCATCCAAGATGGACGTGCCCTTCTTTCCAAGACCTCTATTTTCCATGCCCTTAAAAATGGACTTTCTTAAAATTTCACATAGCTCTCACTGAAGAAACAGAGCACTAAATTAAATTTTTCACGTCTGAACAAAACACAACTTTGTGCTCACACAGACCCCCTTAAGTTCTGCTGGAAATGCAAGGCAGGAGCCAGTTCAGATCTCGAAGGACTGCTGGAAGGACTGATGGTGGCAGTAGCAGACAGAATTTTACAAGACTAGCTCAGAATACCAGGACAGAGATAAAAAACACTAGGAAATCCTAGGGAGATAAAAAACACTAGGAAATCCTAGGGAAGTCCACAGCAGCATAAAAAGGGCGACTCCACCGCTGAGGAAAATCAGGAGGACTGAGTTTTGTTTACACTGTTTGAGGAAGAATTTGCCTGTGACTCATCACCATGCTCTGAGCAACCCTGAGAGTTCCTCTACCTCAGATCTGAATTAGCCTTTTTGGTGCTGTGTTCCCAGCTGACMGGGAGCTCTGTGCTTCCTACAATTTTTAGCACAATCAGACAGTATCCCAGCAGCTTGGCACCGATGCCCGAGCTAAAAACTTACTAACTGGCTGGAAATAGTAACTGCTAAGGGCTTTTCTTTACAACGCTTTGTTGGCAGCCCTGTACAAACATCAAATTCTTCACTGTTCTAAAACACTTGGAATTATTCATGTTTATTTCATAATCCATTTTGAGTTTTGCTCACCTTGTAATTAACACAAGATGTGGGTTGTTTAAGTAGTTCTGGTACTAGGGATTTTTTTTGTTAAAGAACTATCAGTACTTTCAAAAGATTTCTCTTCCATCTAAGTATTAAAATTCTTAGGGCCAACACCGTTTCRTATCTTGAATTCATTTGCATACATCTAAAAATATGATGAATCAGGTTAAAATGCTTCCAAGAAACTACATGCAAATTCTTYGCCTCAGTCCCATTTTAGTGCATGAGTCTTATCTCCCAGTTGTTCACTTTCTAATATGCTGATCCACACGACTGAGTTCCTCACACCTTCCCCCCTAACACAATAGCAGAGGATGAGCCATTATATTTTAAAACAATTCTGTTTCAAATTGTTATGCATGAAACTGATGCTCAGAGAAGACTGTAAAAACTATTCAWGTGACAACTCAAAAAGCTTTATTAAAAGCCCATTATAATTACTGAGAACAGTAATTTCAAAAAACAAAAATTGAATTACATTTTTTCCAGTYAGCATAAGGGCACATAGCTAGCTTTCTATTAATGTGAGAGCCAAAAWTAAAGAATGCACTAAAACTACAGATTTCTGAAATCCACTACATTCAGTGATGCTTTAACAGGATAACTGTTTATGCATTATAAAGCATGGTACGGCCATTGCTGCAGAGTGCACAAACACACAGGCATCTGCAAAGGGTACAGACCTTAGAAAAGCTGTGCATCTCTCAGCAACAAGGTGCTGAGCACTTCTGCAATCTAAATGTTCATCTAAATGTTTAAACCTGTATTTAAATGGCTGGCTTTTGAGATACTCTTAGAATACTTGCCCAAAAGTTTAACTAACAAAAACCAGATCAGAGTGTGGTCACACAGAGCCCCATTTCCACTTATTTTTSAAACATGAGATTATTAGAGACAGGAATATTGCTAAGGTATTAGGAAAAGTATTTKGTAAATCAAACATGTCCTGAAATTAATTTTAAATGTTTTCAGATTAATTTTCCCCAAGAAGAATGGATTGCAGAGATCTCAAAATAAAACAGACCTTCARCAAAACTCTCACCTCTACCTACAGTCTCATCTGATTCACAAATATAATGTTTCAGAGTAGCAACCAAGTCAGCCATTTCAGTCTTGGAGATCACATTTCAAAAAGATGACGCCCTTGAGAACACACTCARCCACTTGTCTTGTATATGCTTACACACAGCTGGCCTAATCCTTTTCATGACATCAGATGTGTCAATTACAATTTCCWAAGTCAGAAAAGAGATATATTAGTCTCCTTATCGTAAAATCCAAACACTCTACAAAAGTGTGCTTATATTAAAAACACTACACTATATTTCCATTTTCACCATGGAAAGCAGTGCTGGGTTTTCAGTAATTTCTGGCACAGCAGAGAAACAAAACCAAACCACTCTAAGGAATCCAACAACACTAATTCACCCACTGAGAAGAACTAATGTTCTAAAATGAGAGGTTAAAAGTATATCCTTCACTATATAATGGTGTGGCATCCTAACCCCGGTATCCTAAATTTGCATAATGGCCAACTTTAACACAAAATTATTCTTAAAAAAATAAGACACCAAAGAAGCAACTGCAGCACCAAGCAGAAGTTATGATCCAATGCCCCCACACAAAGAGCATAAATACATTATTACCAACTGGCCAAAAGGAATAAACATTTAAAATCCCTATCAGATGATCTTCAAAGACATTATCTGGCCTTGCCCTGAAAGCTTTAAACCTGCCAGTGACAATTCCTGGGAAGCAGCAGGAACATGTAACATTTGAAGAACAATGTAAATGCCCTACTTAGCCAACTGTCCCAAACCCCCAGCTTTCAGAATACAGAGGCAAGCAGGATCTTTAGGCACAGCACAATCATTGCAGTGACTGGGCCCATCCAAGCAAAGGGACAGGGATAACTCCACCTTCCCAGTGTGTATGGTTATGTTGCTCAGGGACACAGCTGACTTTCTCCTGTGAGAAGGGCCATCAGAACTGAAAAAGCTTTACTCATGAGAAAATTCACATTTAACAACAGCAGCTTCAAYATACAGCTTAACTTCAGAATATAAWGCAAAAATCCTTACTTTCTCTGCAATAAAAATGGCAAATAAGCTCAGTAACTTTTAGGCTGCCAGTTGCTACCAATGAATATAACTAGTCCTAGAATTAAAGTTAGGGACAGCAACACACTGCTTACAACTCTGACACACCTAGCTAAAAACAGATTACTCCTCAGAAATCAGTTTGTCCTTAACTAAACACTGATCAATGGAGAAGTAATGTAAGATTGAGATGTATATATGATTCAGGAAAACATTCCTGAAGCCTCCATTGAATACAAAACTTCAACCACATATTTGCATTTAACAAAATATACTGAGCGTAACACAGATATGCACTTCTGTGCGTAAGATTCTCAAGTGTTTGCAAATGTGAGACTCAGAATCCATGTAGATGTTCCTATTAGGCATAGAGTACTTGCAAATTACCAGATAAAGCCTAATTTCTCTGAAAAAAAACATATTTAGACAGAGATTTCTCCCTGATTAAGTATTTTCTATTACAGTTTAACTTATGAGAGCTAGAGGCCAGTTAGGACAAGGACTGTGAAAGAAATCTAGAAAACAGTCCATCTCTTGAAGAGTTACCCTATTCAAAAACAAGATTCACCCAACATGAGGAATTTTATCAAGTGGTACAGAAGATACATACACATCTACACACACTTCAGAGCTGCAGAAAATCATTCAATGGAAAAAACACCAAAGAATAGGTACACTTAKCACAACACCACAAGGACATTTCACACACCCTTTCTTTGGTCAGCTTTAAGCAAGAAATAACATTTTTACAGGGCAGACTAATCCCACAAGATGGAGCAATGAGTTTTATTCTCATATGGCCAAAAGCAAGTAACACCAAGTGGCTTCTCAGCTAACTGTCTGCAAGCACACACAGGGCAAATAAAGCTCATTTAGTCTCAACCTCTCTTTCCTCTGAGTGCACAAAGCCAGTTTAGGCAAYGTACTTCACTCCTAACACAGCACAGACTGCACCATAACTGCTCCACATCTCTGAGGAAATGCCACCAGGACTAATGAAAAACCCCCACTGGCTGAACTACCACGTATTACTACACTTCACCTTTCAGATATCAAGACCATCTTAAGTTTTTTTTTCAATATTCTAATGGAGGACTCAAAGAAAACCCAAAGCTTTAAGTGATTTTGAATTTAAAGATGGACTRTTTTTSATTTTACAATGTAACAGCAAAAGCKGTATTATTCCCAGARGTCATTTTTAACCTTTTAATTTTACTCKTTTGGTTAATACATAAACTGTATACCATACGTGGAAGCTGTACATATCAATCCTCAAATAAGATTCACTTCTGTAACAATACAATGTAGCAATTAAAAAAAACTTACAGTGCGAGCACATTTCCAAAGGRTAGCTTGCCTCATTTCCCTGAAACACAAAAAAGAAAAGACAAAACACAAAGTTGCAATTACTCCCAAATAAGCTTTGAGGAATTACTTAMATTTCAGCACTGTAAAAATCTCAGGCAATATAAGTTACATTATTATTTAAAAATATATTTCAGACCCAACAACCATAAACAATGTTTATTTGGATAGATCTATGTTACCAAAACATACAAAGAAATATAAAACCATCAAGAGATCTCCTCCAATGAGAATTTCCATGAAAATGTAAGTTCACATAATAACCACACAAACTTCAATCCCATATTCTAAATTCAGAAAAAACAAACTCACTACTTATACAATGAGCAAATGCTAGTTTTCAAGTTAAAAATATTTAATTTCAAAACGTCATAAAACCTGCTTTACCATTTTATTTCATACASAGAAACAGACATGTTTTTATAAATTCCATGACAAATCTTACTCAATTTGCATAAGAAAACTGTACCAAGTTTTCTCCCCTGAGCCACCTACCCATTCCCCCTCAAAAAGGATTCACACAGCAGGAATGATGCAAAAGAAGAGTTTCACATGAAACTCAGACATAACAGTTTTACATTTAAATATTTTTGTAATGTACTATGCTAATATATTGCTGCTTTTAACTGAATGGAAAGTCAAACTAAGATTTTAAATCCTTGYCACACTACAAAGCAGTAATAGCATAAAAAATTTAAAACTCCAAGAATATCAACACTTTAAATTTGCACACATGGAAATCAACATGAACTACTGCAACATTAACGCCAACAGAAACTAAAACTTGGTATTTTCCCCCAAATGCCTCACTTTGAGGCAGACATCACAACACAAACATGCTTTAATGACTTTTCTGAATCCATTAGCAAAGGAGCAGCCAGATATCTGAAGGGATTAATAGCCATTTTCAATACAAATCTTTTTAAGGGAGTGTTTTACATAAGAAAATAARACATATTTCAGATGAGTCTAAGACACTGTTCAGGAGCAATTCTCTTATGGTGTGGAGCACAAGAGATTCCAGAGCTGAGCACTTGCACAGAAAGGCTCGTCAAAATGATAAAAAATCAAACAGAAATAGAGAGACTACTTGACAAGAGAGGGGAAAAAAAAAGGAAGAACTATATTTAACCTAGAAGCTAAAATGCAACTGCACTTCCTAATTAGAGCAGAAAGGGGTAGAATGAACAACTCATAAATCTAAATATGTCCAAGAGGAGATGTGTTGTTGCTGTTGTTGAGAAGGGGGTGCTTGCATTTTTTACTTCAGGAACACTTTSACTTTGCTTATTTCCCACAATCCATAAACCCTCTTGCTTCTTTAAAAAAAAATTCATCCATTTGCTTTCTAAGTAGGGCAGCAAAAGGTAAAGCCTTAACTTCTCCAATGGCTACTTAGGGCAAGACAGCAGAACAGAAATGTAGACGAGGACCACCAGGTCACTAAAACCTCAAAAGCACAACTGGGATATTTTGCAGACAAACTAACTGCACTGTGGCAGGTAATCCAGGAGAGCAGTGCCACATGAAAAATGTTGGATGGAACCCAACTAAAGTCTTAGGGAAAACAGCAAAGACCAAAACAGGTAGCAAAAGGCTAGTGTATGCATGTGAATATAAAAGGAAATCTAAAATGTGAGAAAGCAGAATTTTGAAACAAGAAGAAAACAGGAACCAGGGGATCCAGCTAGGCTGCTCAAGACACGAGGTCATGAAGAGGCAAGAAAAACACCAGACTGGAAGGCTGCAAATTAAAGGAGAAAGTTGAATTAAAACCAGTGCATTTATGCACATGCACACAAATATACAATCTTAATTACTACTGTTCTGGGCATTTACATCCTTGTTCAGATTTTGGGAGAAAGTTAATTTCTAGTACAGGCTACCAAAATCAATCTGCCTAAAGACACATAAAATGCTTCCAAAAACAGCATGATAAAATGAAAAAATTGGAATAACTTTTTTCAGTTCATTAATTAAGTGTAATGCTTATAGGAAGCCTTACTAAGRAGCATTTAGATGCACATGCTAAGTCATAATCAAGTTATCTAAATAGAGTAGCCTAAAAAAAAAATGTTGGAGATCAGAGAAAAAAGTTAATAAACTTCGGTTTAGCTTTCTGTAAAACAGTTATTGCTAAAAAAAGTGTTCAGAATACTTACCTATCCAGGACTGGATCTTAGATATCTAAAAAAGTAGAAAAATCTAGTAAATGACAATGTAAAAATGATATAATTATTCAACATTTTTCATACAGTACTTAAAAAAAAATAGTTACCTGCTATTGATGTGTTGAATATTCATCTTCACAGGAGAACACAAAATTCTTGTATGATTTAAAAGGATCTTGTTGGCAGGACTTTTTGGTACAGACATCTCAACTCACGCCAAAATTCCTATTTGCACCGTTGTGATCTGGACAAACACAAAGTTGGTGCTCTGTACCAAAGCCTTGATCTTCAGATATTACGAAGAATGATGTGGTCTCAGGAGCAGGCATTTTTCATCATATTCTGAGCAGCAGTACAAGAAGGTTGCTTACTTGTCCCCAAATATAATCAGTATGTGTACATGCTCCTTGAAACAGGAGATAAACCCTGAAACACAAGCACTAAGTAGGCTGAATATTCTTCTTACTTAAGAAGCAAGGATTTTTTTAAGAATAGGCAGGCAGTAAGTAAAGTGGAAGGTTAGAGCTATATCCACATCAATGTGTTATGAAAAAACGCAGAGATCCAAGCCCAGCGATGAGACATCGTTAAGTATCAAATAAGCCCTCTAAGAAAAGGGAAAGAACTGGGTACACACTTTCATCTGTACATTTTTAATGCAAAGAAAAACCTAGGTTTAACATCAGGATGAAGAAGCATTCTAAAGAATGCTGAAAAATATGCTTTGTGATTGGGTGCTCTAACAGAAAATTAGTTTCTGCAAAAGATGACTATAACTATAAATCTTATTCATTAAAATAACATTGCATTTATACTTTATAGTTTTAAATTACACTAATTTATAAAGACAAAAGGCAGTGTAAAACCCCAAAGATGTAATTTCACCTCTGATAGAGTTGATTTATATAAATGCATCTGTAGAGCAACAAGGTTCTGACACAGCATAAGACGGTCAATTTTAAAACCTCATTATATTAGTGTTTCCTGATATCTCTATTTAGCATACCTCACACAGAGAGTACCTGCTCATATACACTATACCAGCACATTTAGGAACCAGTGACATGGTTTGTTGAAGAGATGCAGCTTTTACAGAGTCAACACTCTACAAAATATTTACTYGGCACCTACACCCAGGGTAAAACATGCCTTCCTCAGCTTCATGTGGTATCACTACCAGACTGCTGGAACTCAAATCTATTCTCTCAAGGCACACCAGCAGAAAAAGCAGCTGAAATATTACAGAYACTTTGAATAGCTTTATCCTTTTAGAACAGTCTTGATATTTTCTTGAATGCTGTTAAAAGACAGGTTAATTCCCAGTTAAACAGCTGCAAAAATGACGTGTTGACACAAATAATTACAGATATAGGAAAAGTCCAGAATCTACTAACACAAGGCTGACCCAATTCTGAATACTGCAGAAATACCAGCTTCCTAGAGAGAAGTCAAAACACATCAGTAAAGGAGCTGACATGACACGTAATTGTGTTCCTTTAAGAACAAAAGTGGTTTTTGCAATTTTCTTTTCTACAAAGTATTTTTTTTTCCTTTCAGCAGCTGTGCCTTTTTACTAGGTAAGAATAACCTCTTAATGGACTTTAGTCATTGTATCTTCTGCAGATTATTTCAGGAAAAAAAAAGTGTTTCTTGATTTTTTTCCCCTGGCAGTTATTTCAAATACTAACTGTTCTTTCTTCTTAAGATCAGTTTTGTACATGCTGCTTCAAGATACAATAGTTAAAGGCAATTATCTTGACAAATTTCCTTTTAGTGAAAGACATGAAGGTCTGTGGATAGAAAATAAAAAAGGAAATTAGCAATTAGTAAAATTAGTAACAGAATCTGAATTCTAAGCTGCAGTTGTTTATACAAAACAGCTTGCACACAGTAAGACATCACACTGCAAAGCAGTTCTTCAGAATATATATATCRGTAGAACACTTTCTAGGTCTGATTGTACACTGCTTTGCTTTTCTGCATGATGTGCATTTTTCTGTACATAATTCAGAGACTTAAATTACAGTGTCAGCCTTCGATTAGTTTTCTGCTTTTGTAGAAGCAGAAAATATGCTTAAATGTCAGCAAGCCACAATTTCACCTTAGGACTAATCTCAAATTTAGTCCTCCAAAGGGGGACTACAAACGAAAATTAACTCCTGGACAGTTTAAAACATTAGGTTATTTCAGAGATTCTCATTTGTTTCTATAGCCAGGCAATTAATTCAACAAGGGGCAAGTGTGGCCTCTTGATCTGTTTAGCATATTTACAGGAGTAGTTGTCCAAGATTTGCCWCTTTCTGCAGCAGAGTACAAAAGCAATGTATAAAGTTCATACTTGTAAATGGCCTTACAGATGAAAACTGCATTGTCACAGTGCTAGCTGCTCCACCTCCGAACTAGATGATCCTGCATTTGTGTTTCTGATGCAAGGCTGGGAGTGCTGGCAACACACTGTATGTTGTGCTTCTTGAATCTGCTCCTATACCCTCTACACTACTAATTGTCACTGTCAGCACAAGCAAGAAACTACAGCAGGCAAGTGGAACAGTCAACCAAACCATGTCAGCTGGGGGCCGGAACTAGGCATTATAGAGATCATCAACTTCAATTCTTAAGTTATACAAAAAGCTGTTCTCCATCATCCCCTACTAAAACTCAAACGAATGGTAGTATTAAGAAGAAAGATGGAAGAAGTTGGCAGCTATAGCCTACATCTAAGACTCTTCTCCCTATTCCACAAACACACAAAATGCTTCTCTATCTTTTCTCATTCTTCATACCACCAAAATTAATGATTGATGACAATTACCTGTTGCAGAGAATTCTTCCTTCTCCTTGGTGCTCATTTTCCATGTATTGTCACTTTCATAAAGCTTTAACAATGAAGAACTGCTTGGTGAAAAGAAGTTTGATTTGGTTTTATTGTTTTGGGCTTGCTTTTATTAATGCCCACTGTTTAACACATTACCAGAGCTTTGGCTGTCAGAGGTTGGCATTGTTTTCCTCATCAACAAACAGCAGACAAGTAGGCAAACTAAAAATGACAGTATATGTTTTCAAGGCTCTAAAAAACTTCTGCATAAATAGAACACGCTGCATAGACACATCTGCAGTGGTTTAAAATTAATTTCACACAAAGCTCAAGAAGATTCAAGCCACTTTAATATTACAACTTCTGAATCAATTGCTGGCCACAAAAACATGCAAGATCTCACCTGTTGTAATTTATACATTTCATATGTAASCTAACCTTTAAGAGAATTAAAGACTAAAAGGAGTTTACCAAAACACAGACAAAAGACACACCCAAAGTGTCTGTAGACACCGCAAGAAATATGGCTTAAAACAAGAAAAATGGGAACAAGATTTCAGGGCAAAAAAGCAGCAAGAAAAATACTTTTATCTACCTTGTTCAGAAAGAGTATGAATACACATATACTTAGCTTCTTTTGTTAAACTCAAATAGAAGAAGAAAAAAAAACCAAAACCCTTGAAAAAGCTACTCAATACAGGAAAGTTTTGACTGCCCAAGAGCAGTCTTTGAATAAAAAAAAAAAAAACACGTCACTGATTATCTTCTACATAACAGGAATATCCAATTTATACACTACAAAAGGAAACTTGTAAAGGAAATGTTACAGATAATATCAYGAGGAAATGTGGCATTTGTGCTTTCACTTCGAGTAATTGAGTCACCTTTTAAGCTTTTTATTGCAGACAGTAAACAAATCCACCTCAAATYTGGATATCCAAACACAGTTACCTGAAAACACAATTTGATTGAAATTAAGGACTAGTAATAGGGCAGACTAACTGCCAAAATTTAGAAAGTAACATTTAAAACAACATGGTGACTTCTGTACCGTCTCATATACAGCAACTAAGTACTTGCTTTGAACAAAAGTACTCYAAGCACAGAGAATACAACTCCCTAAATACTTCCTCTTCAAATTAGCAGTTCTCCAACATAAGACTTCTACTCAAAGAAAATAAATCTACCTTGAGGTTCTTACACTCATATTAATGCTGAGTTAGACTGCATTGCAAAAATTAAGTGAAACCAAAGAATTAGAGCACATTGAATAAGAAGGCTTGTGGAAACTCAAGCAACAGTTTCAATGTTGACCCCAAATTCTCAACCTATTTTCTAAGGCTACATCCCATGGGAGGAAATAAAATACATGAGGTGACACCCACCTCACATTTCTTGAGTTCCAAACCTAAGCAACTCCTAGCAGTAAGTTAGACTACACTTGCCAATCTTGCATTATCTTTTTAGATCACCAACAAATCCAGCCTATCCTGAAGTTAGGATAGCATGACAGCAGTTTAAGGTGCAAGATTTCCAAGCTGAATACAGCTCAAATGACAGTTTACTGCACCTTCACGACCACACTACAATTTTCACCCCCTCAGCTCTGCTTATATTCCACTCACTGTTCTAACCAAAGCCCATGACATCTCATAGCCACTACCTTGGCTAKCAAAAAGTCCAATACATTTCCTGGCATTAAACTGTCAAATCTGGGCATCTTGCTATCCTTTGGTAGGAGCATTCACTTGTCCACGTGTGCAACAGAAGGAATTAAACAGGATACAAACATGCAACAAATGCTTACAGGTTATACAGAAAAGTAAAGGATTAAAGCAAATAAATAAGAAAAGACAAAAAAACAGATAAGCAGTAATAAAGGTACCAGGTAAGCAGCACAGACCACAAGTGTCACAGTAAAGGACTTGGGCATTCCACTGGTATGTAAGAGATGCACTTCCCTGCACATTTTTGAGTAAAACTTGCCATTAAAATCAGTAGCTTTTATTATGAACACAACTCCAACAGCTAGACTATCAATGTGTATTAAATTCACAGGATGGCACAGGTCATGAAAGAAATCCGTTTTGGTATTTCTTTACCAAATAAATCTTGCAATGGTCTGTATGCAAAAGAACAAACGGTATTTTTATGGAAGAGTATCCACAACTTGTTTCTTTAATTCTTTAGTCAACCAGCAACAAGATGCATATTGCAGCAATATATTAGAGTTATTTTCTCCCAGACACCTTCAGACACAGCTACAAAAGCAAACTATGAAATTTATGAACTGACCTTAAATGTTGGTATCTAAACCACCTTATCTTGGGTGCAATCACACAGTGCATGCAAGACAACCAGGGCAATCAGTGCCTCTATCAGTCCCAGGCAACCCAGGTTCATGAAAAGGCAGGCCCTGCTTGACCAAC